AATTAGTTTGTTTGTTTGCTTGTTTTAATCAATTTTAAATCATGCTTTTTATTTGTTTTTGTTTCTAATGTCTCTGTAAAGCACTTTGAATCACCTTGTTGTTGAATTGTGCTATACAAATAAACTTGCCTTGCCTCCTGCTGCCCCTGAACCAGCTGACTGACACACCGATTCCTTTCCTCACTCATAAAGGAGCCAATTAATTTGTACAAGTTTACAGTTTTACAAAAACTGAAATTCAGATTTATGTTAGTTTGCTATTTTGTGTAATTAACTTGAATGTTTTTACAGCCACTCAGTCGTAAATATATAATTGAGACAGCGTTTACATTTATTTATCAGCTCAGAATAAAATCAATAGTCTCCATCTTGACTCCATCTGGACAGTGATGCTCTGAGACTGTTAGCTTCCATGCACTGCAAACATTTATGGCCTAGTGTATGTTACACATTTATGAATGATAAGTCATCTGTCACCTTGAATCTTGGAGATGATCTGAATATTTGAGTGAAGATGAGGCTGAAATGACTTTAAGATTAAACACTTAACTAAATCTACTCAAAGTAACATGAAATGCAGCTGACAGTCAGTGTTCTGACTACATTAATGTTGAATTGTGTTCATAGGTTGAACTTCAGTCATTTAATGACAAAACAACATTTTGGTGGTGTCTGAAATTCAGAATCTGAGCCTCGACATATTTTTCATTTTTTGCATATGTGCATATGACCTGAATGATATAACAGTGGGTTGAGTCACAATGTTCATCAGTGTGACAGCCGGGGGGAAAGCTGTTTGTGGCGTCTGGTTTTAGTAAAGCGCTCTGTAGAGCCTCCCTGAAGGCTGCAGTTTGAACAGTTTTTATCTGGGATGTGAGGGGTCTGCAGAGATGTTTTCTGCCTGCTTCCTGGACCTTTACAGGTCCTGGATGAAGAAAAGATCAGCATCAACGAGCCTCTCTGCACACCTGATAGTCTGCTGCAGTCTGGCCCTGTCCTGCTTCATGACTGAGCTGAGCCAGACAATGACTGATGTACATAGGACAGACTGGATGATGGCAGTGTAGAAGATGACCAGCAGCTCCTGTGGCAGGTTGAACTTCCTTAGTTGCTGCAGGAGGTACAACCTCTGTTGGGCCTGCTGAGCAGGTTCAGCTCCAGGTGGTTCTGACTGCACCATCTTATTGTTTTATATCAGACCAATGACCTTCAGGATTTTCACAGATGGTTCTCCTGAGGTGCAGTCATTAGTGTAGAGCAGGGGTCCCCAATCCCAGTCCACGAGGGCCAGTGTCCCTGCAGGTTTTAGATGTGTGCTTGATCCATCACAGCTGATGTAAATGGCTAAATGACCTCCTCAACATGTCCTGAAGTTCTCCAGAGGCCTGGTAATGAACTAATCATGTGATTCAGATGTGTTGACCCAGGGTGAGATCTAAAACCTGCAGGGACAGCGGCCCTCGTGGACTGGGATTGGGGACCCCTGGTGTAGAGGGAGATCCTGCAGACCCTTGTCGATAAATTACTGACTCTTGGACTGAGCTCTTCTCTTTGTAACTGGGTTCTGGACCTACTGACCAACAGGCCGCAGTCTGTAAGGATCCACAATGTCTCCTCATCCTCCATAGTCCTGAGCACTGGCTCCCCTCAGGACTGTGTGCTGAGTCCCCTCCTGTTCATGCTGCTTACATATGACTGCTCGCCTAATCACCCTGGCTGTCATATTGTAAATTTTGCAGACGACACAGCTGTGGTGGGATGCATCACAAACAACGACGAGGCCAGCTACAGGAAGGAGGTGGAACAATCGAAGGACTGGTGCAGGAAAAACAAGCTGGATGAGATAGGTGGATGATGTCTGCGATCATGGTGTTAAAGGCTGAGCTGAAGTTCGTGAACAGGGTCCTGGTGTACATCCCAGGTTTTCAAGGTGTAGGATGTAGTGCAGTCCTACAATGACTGCATCTTTGGCCAACCCGTTTGCCTGTTTGGCAAACTGCGCAGGGTCTAACGAGGGCTCTGTGATGTCCTTCAGGTGGCTCAACACCAGGCTTTCAAAGGCTTTTATGACCACAAACATCAGGGCAAAGGGCCGGTAGTCATTGAATCCTAGGATGGTGGACTTCTTTGGGACCAGGATGATGGTGGAGGCACTTCATATAGCTCCAAAGATCTGTTAAAGATATGAGTTAAGATTGGGGCCAGTTGGCTGGCACAGACTTTCAGGTACGTGGGAGACACACA